GGGGCCACCGGGCCAAGCGGGGGGGGGCTAGCCTCCCACTAGTTCGAATTAAGTGGCTACACAGCCCTTAATTCGAACTACCATATATTCCGGCGTACAAGACGACCTCTGATGTTAAAAAACACCCCCCAAAAATCGGGGGTCGTCTTGTACGCCGGTATACATCCCAGGCACGCCTGGGATGCCCCGCCGCCGGCTTCCCCCGAGGCTGTCAAAGCCGCGGAGGGGCTCCGGCGGGGGGGCATCCGGCGTACAAGACGACCCCCGATTTTTGGGGGATGTTTTTTAACTTCAGAGGTCGTCTTGTACGCCGGAATATACGGTATGTAAGAATACACACTTTTGTGTAATGCAGTTTGCTCTTCTATTTTTTGAATTTTAAAGATCTCATGCTCTTTGCAAAAGTGCAAGGATTAGCCCTGGTATCTTGGTACAAATTCCGCTGTAGATAATTGTGCCTACCTAAATCTATATGCAATTTGTTACATACAGTGCTTGTAAAGTAAACTATACCAATAAGTAGCTACCATGTTTAACCTCAATGATTGCACTTCAGTAGTAGGTGGAATGAACGTTTTAAAAATTTTATATAGAGAGGTTGGAAACCGTATACAGTAATTGTATAATACTTTTTGAAAAACTTAGGCATAAATTGATGGAAAAACTACTATGATCAAATATCATGTAATAGTACAAAAAATCATGGCTTCCCAATGCAGATAATCTTTTAGAGTTTCAAAATTGGCTTGATTTCTGACTTTCCATAGCACACAGCTAAATTGCAAAGTATTTGGGAAGAGAGAAAATACATGAAGAATATTTCATACATAAACCATAAGAAAATAAATTATGGTATCTAAATGACAGCTTCTTGGAGCAGCTGGTTCTGGAACTCACAAGAGGAGAGTCAATTCTTGATTTAGTCCTAAGTGAAACACAGGATCTGGTCCAAGAGGTAACTAGCAGTACTGCTTGGAAACAGTGACCAAGCAGAGTTGGGGGCTTTCCTGTTCATTGCGTCAAGTGTAACATGTATGATTACCTGCCCTGTGGGTGGGTGGCGTATGTGTGCACTCGTTGCAAGAAACTCCTGACCCTCAGAGACTGAGTTTGGGCTTTGGAGGCCAGGGTGGCTGAACTGGAGGAGCTAAGGGAGGCAGAGAGCTATGTTGATGAGACTTTCCGGGACACTGTAGTACTGTCCCACCTCCAGTCTGAGAGCCCCAGTGCTCTTAAGGAGGATGAAAGTCTCAAGGGAACAGAGCATTCAATGGGAGCAGAGGGAAACCATCCCGTAGTTGGGACCCTCCTCCCAGAGGATGTTGCGGTATCCTCTGGAATGCCAGTTAGGAAGAGGCATGTGTTAGTAGTGGGTGAGTTGATCATTAGAAAATAGATAGTTGGGTTTGTGATGACTGGGAGAACCGTATGGTCACTTGCCTGCCTGGTGCGAAGGTTGCGGATCTCTCAAGGCATCTAGATAGACTTATGTGTAGTCCTAGGGAGGAGCCGGTGGTCGTGGTACATGTTGGTACCAATGACATAGGGAAGGGTAGGAGAGATGTCCTGGAGGCTAAATTTAGGCTGCTAGGAAAGAGACTGAAATCCAGAACCTCTATGGTGGCGTTCTCGGAAATGCTTCCAGTTCCACGCGCAGGGCCAGGTAGGCAGGCAGAGCTTCAGAGTCTCAATGC